GGTACACCGTGTGTGTGTGTGTGTGTGTGTGTGTGTGTGTGTGTGTGTGTGTAAGCTGTTGTGACTGAAGATTAGCCTTCTCTCTCTTCAAGCCTCCCAGCTCCTGCCTCAGGCCCTTTGCTGTTTCTGCTTCTAGCAACATCCTTTGCCAACCCCTTGCATAGATGTTCTTGTCAGTTACACCTCAGAGGGAACTTTTCAGTCCTTGTAAGTAAAAGCCACTCTCTCCATCCTAAAGCCTTTCTTCCTTCAAAACACGTGACAGTCTTTGACATTTTATTACTGGGTTTTGTGTTATTTATTGAACTGCAAATGACTTGATTTTGTCTTGCCCACCATATAGCATTGTGCTGGAACCATGCTCAATACGTCTCTGCTATCTAGAGTACATCAACAGAGAACAGCCAGAGGTGCAGGCTGGGTTTAGAAGAGCCTGTGGCACAGCACTAGGGACATTATAGTTAATGCTAGATGGATCTTGGCTGAAAGCAGGGAATACCAGAGGAATGTCTGTGTTTCATTTACTATGCAAAGGCATTTGATGGTGTGAATCACAACAAACTGTGGCTAACATTGAGGAAAAGGGGAATCCCAGAACTCTTGATTGTGCTTATGCTAAACCTTTACTTGGATCAGGAGGCAGTTGTCAAAACAGAACAAGAAAACGTGATATGGTTTAAAATTAGAAGAGGTATACTGTAGGGATACATCCTACCTCATTTTCTTTTCAGTCTCTATGTGAACAGATCATCTAGGAGACTGGAATTTATGAAGAATGTGGCATCAGGATTTGAAGACTCATCAACAACCTGTGTTATACAGAGGACACAACCCTGCTTGCTGAAACTGACGAGGACCTGAGACATTTGCTGCAGAAGGTTAAGAACTACAGCCTTCAACATGGATGGAAGCTCAGCATCAAGAAATAAAAGATTCTCACCACTGGGCCAATTGGCAGCATCATGACAGATGGTGAAGAGATTTGGATTGTTAACAGCTTCTGCTTGCTTGGACCTACAATCAACATTCTTGGTACCAGAAGTCAGGAAATCAAAAGAGGAGTTGCATTGGGAAGATCTACTGTGAGGGACCTCTTCATAGTACCAGAAAGCAACAATGTCAGTCTAGATACCAAGGTGCACCTGATCCAGTCCACAGTCTTTGCAATTACTTGCTATGCATCAGAGGGTTGGACAATGACTAAGGATGATAGAAGAATGGATGTTTGAGTTGTGGTGCTGGAGAAGAGCATTGAGCATACCATGGACTGCTAAGAGAACAAATAGGTTTTTCCTGAAGTGGGTGAAAACAAAGCTGCTCTTTGGAGGTGAGGATTTTGAAGCTCCATCTCATATACTTTGGGCATGTTGCCAGGAGGTACCAGTCCTTGGAGTACAACATCATGCCTGGAAGGTTGTAGGGACAGTGCAGGAGAGGAAGACCCTGGATGAGATGGACTGACTCAGTGACTGGGGTAATGGGGGTAGGTGTGTCTGAGACAAAGTTTGCTCAGGAGAGAGCAGGGTTCAGAGCTGTTGTATATAGGGTCACTATGAGTCGCAGGTAATGCAATAGCGAATAACTACACAACATCTAGAGTCAGACCTTAACTGCTGTCCTTTGTCACTGTTTGGGTGTCTTGAGGTAACTGGCTAGAGGAACAACTCTCACATCAGTTTCACATGGAGTAGGGAACTATCCACTCCCCCTGCATTAGCACTGAGAGCAGTTAAAACTCAAGTAGATGGAAATAATGCAAGTGTCCACCAAAGGACAAATGGCTAAAGAAGTTATGGTACATTCATACTGTGGGGTATTATGAAACATTAAAGAATTCTTGAAACACTGCACAACATGGGTGAATACTAAGGAAATGACACTGATGTGAATCAGTTACAGAAGGACTATTATGGCATAAGTCCATTTTTGCAAGAAGGTAAGGAAAGGTTAACATGGGTAGAATCCATCTTGGAGGATTGTCAGGGATGGGAAGGGAGAAAGAAGGGAAGATAAATAAACTAGATGAAGGAAAAGCATTTCAATAAGGGGTTTATCAGGCATTACAATTACATCAACCAATTTCAATTAAGGTGCAAAATGTGTATGAATGATTGAATGAAAACTCAACATCATATGTAAATTTTAATTCAAAATATTTTTAAAAATAAGGAAGCTAAAGCTGTTTCAAAGCCCAGCTGATGATTTTTCTATGTGGCTGCTTAAAGGTTCCCTACCTCATAGGTCATTCCTGGTAGCCATAGGGCTGCAGTACGAAGCTGAGGGGAACAAAAGGGGCAGAGATAAGTTCAGCAGAGGCCCTGCAAATACAATCCTGAGTGCAGTCATTTGTGGGTTTATTTGCTGCAAAAACTAAGCCACAGCTGACCCAGGCTCAACAGCTACTTCAGCAGACCTGGAAAAGGGCAGGGTCCTCCATAACAAACTATGGCTAACATTGAGAAGACTGGCAATTCCAGAGCATTTAATCATGCTCATTTGGAACCTAGACCTAGACCAATAAGCTATTGTCTGAACAGAGCAAGGAAAACATTGCATGGTTTAAAGGCAAAACAGGTACGTGACTTTGTAAGCAAAGAAATACATAAAATATTAAAAAAAAAACCAATGGGCGGAGGGGAAGAAAGGTTATGTGTCAGGGCTGTATCCTTTCTCATACCTATTCAATCTGTATGTGGAACAAATTATTCTAGAAGCTTGACTCTGAAGAAAAAATGTGGCACCAGGATAGGAAGAAGACTGATCAACAACCAGCTTTATGCAGATGACACAACCTTTCTTACTGAAAATGAGGATTTTAAGCTCTCTTCATTTTGGATTACATCTCAACATCAAGATGACAAAAAATCCATACCACTGGACCAATCAGGCAACATCATGATTGTTATGTGCCATCGAATCACCTGTAACTCATAGCGGTCCTATCTATAATAGGGCTGAACCCTGCCCTATCCTGAGTCAATCTTACTGCCTCTGACACACCTACCCACCCACATTGTTTCAGTTACTATGTCAAATCATCTCATCTGGGGCCTTCCTATCTTGTGCTGTCCCTCCATCCTTCCAAGCATGATGACTTTTTCCAAGGACTGGTACCTTCTGGCCATGTGCCCAAAGTATGTGAGACAGAGCTTCAAAATCCTAGGCTCCAAAGAGCAGCTTGGTTTCACCCTCTCCAGGACAGACCTGTTTGTTCTCTTGGCAGTCCACAGTATATTTAACACTCTTCTCCAACACCACAACTCAAAGGTATTGATTCTTTTGTCATCCTTAGGAATTGTCTAGTTCTCTGATGTATAGCAAGTAATTGTGAAGACCGTGGCCTGAATGAAGAGCTCAGGTGGCCTAATGTTAAGAAGCTGTGCTGCAGTCCTGAAAGCATATGGTTTGAATCCACTAGCTGATCTGTGGAAGAAGAATGGGCAATCTTCTCCCGTTTGAGTAAATGCCTCTGAAAACCTGGTGGAGGGTCAGCAATGGGTCGGTTCCAACTTGATGGTACACAACAACATGGCCTGAATCAGGCATACTTTATTCTCTAAACTGACATCGTTACTCTTTAGCACATTGGAGAGGTTGCCAGTAGCAGATTTCCCTAATGAAATTTGTCTTTTGATTTCCTGACTGCTGGTACCAAGAGTGTTGATTGTGGAACCAAGCAAGATCAATCTCTTCTCCATCCATCATGTTGTACTATCCATGTTGTTATCCAAGGTGTTGCTATTTGGCCCATTGATAAAAATCTTTGTCTTCTTGATGCTGAGCTTCAGTCCGTATTGGAGACTACAGCTCTTTACCTTCTGAAGCAAATGCTTCTGGCCCTTCTCAGTTTTGGCAAGCAAGGTTGTTTCATCTTCATATTGCAAGTTGTTGAGTCTTCCTCCAATGGCACATTCCTCCTCATAAACTCCAGCCTCCTGAATGATCTATTCTGCATATAGATTGAAAATATATGGAGATAGGTCACACCCTTGACACACTCCTTTCCTCATGTGGACCATGTAGTGTTTATTTGCTCTATTCTAATGAATGCTTCCTGGTTCAAGTATGGGTTTTGCATCAGGTGTTCTAGGATCCCCATTCTCCTCAAGATTAGCCACAACTTGTGATCCAAAGAAACAACTTTGTTTAGTCAATGAAACACATTCTCCTAGTACTCTCTGCTTTCAGCCAAGACGCATCTGGAGAAAAGACAGAAGTTGTCAATTATTTCCTCTTACTTGAGTCCACAGTCAACACCCTTTGCACCAGGAGTCAAGAAATCAAAAGATAGATTGCTTTGGGAATCTGCTGTAAAAGAATTCTCCTCCAAAGTGCTGAGGAACAATGTCGTCAGCTTAAACACTGAAGTGTGTCTGATCCAAGCCATGGTTTTTTTAATTCCTTGTTATGCATCCGGTGGCCTAGTGGTAGGAAGCTGCCCTGCAGTCACACACACAGGTGGTTCAAATCCACCAGCTGCTCCACAGGTGAAGGATGGACAATCTCCTTTCATGTGATTTACTGCTTCTGAAAACTTGCACGAGTGTCAGTTATGGGTCTGTTCCTACTCGACAGCATACAGCAGCAACATGCATCTGAGAGCTGGACAGTGATAAAGATGACAAGAATCCATCTGTTTGAGCTGTGGTGTGTGGAGAAGCGCTTGGAATATCTCATGGACTGCCAAAAGAACAAAGAGATGTCTTGGAGAAGATGCAGCCAGACTGCTCCTTAGAGGAAAGAATGGGGAAGCTTTGTGAAGCTTTCACACTTTGGGAATGTTAGGAGATAGACAGCATGCGAGAAAGACTGAGAAGCTTCCGATCTTTCGCTGACACTCCACAGGTAGACGGACACAAAGACTGTGGCAATGGGCTCAAGTGTGTCAGAGGTGAGGATGGCACAGGACAGGACAAGTCTCAGATCTGGTTTTAGGGTTGCGATGAGTTGTATTCAACTCAATGGCACATAACAGTGACCTAAAGAAGCAGAGCTATCACTTTGATGGCTAATGGATGCCTGAGCCAAGCCATAGTATTTTCAGTCACCTCATATGCAAAAGTGGACAATAAAGATACCCAGGAAGAAATGAAGCCTTTGAATCAGTGTTAAGGGATATTACATATAATATGGACGGTCAGAGAACAGATATGTCTTAGAAGTAAAGCCAGAATAGTCCTCTGGAGTAAGCATGGCAAGATTTTGTCTCATGTATTTTGTTACTGTTGTCAGAAGGAACAAGTCCTGAGAGGACATCATGCTGGGTGGAGAGGCAGGGAAGAGGAAGAGCCTCAATGAGGAGGACACAATCCCATCCAGGAGAGGAACACCCAGTCCCTTGAGGGTGTAACTTTCTAATAAGTGTTTCTACTTTACACTTCCCCCCTCACATCCCCAACCAAAACAGGGCAGTAATGCGGGACGACAACCGGGGAGAGGGCAGAGTGTTGTCCTCAGGTTCACCGAGTGGGTGCCAACCCAACAACCACCATTAGCCTCACCCACTACTTTCCTGTTCCAACCCCTGCCCCTCTTCAGTGGTTTGCAGGGCTTCGTTCCTCCTCAAAGCCTGCCCTGCCCCTCCATCCCACCGGAAGGGCGCCCTTGTAGGTCCAGGCCTCAGATGGACACTGATCTTTGTATTTGTGAAGGTAAAGCAGGAGCACTCCCTGTGGGAGGACTATGCTGTTCCCTGAGAGTCTAACATACGGTGACATCTGTTAACTGAGGACTTAGAGAATTGGGGAGGAGGGTGACCCAGGTGGCACTCCCTACAGGGTGGGATCTTCTGGTGAGGGCAGTAATTGCAGCCCTTAAGTTGTGACCCTCAAAAACTGGGTCGCGCTTGCTGAAGAGAGTGTGGATGCGGGTGGACTCCCAGCAGGACTGGCCTTGCTCCTGGCACGAAGCTCAGAAGCCAGAACGTTGAAGCTGGGCAACTGCCTGAAATGCTCAGTTTTTTCCTTCAGAGCTGGAGGTTGGGTGTCCCGGGAGAAGAGGAGAAAAAGAGCAGAGCACACTATCAGCTGGGGGCTGACTCCCCGTCCCTGGGGTCTGGGGAGAATGCCGGCTTCAGGTGTTGGGGGCGGGAGGGTGTTGTGCCGGGGCCTGGGTGCGCCGGTGTGCTGCCGCCCTCTGCTGGGCACATGGACTCACTGCAGACACTTCGGCCTCTGGTAGTAGGGCGGCTCCAGAGCGTAGGGAAACCAGATCTTGACAAAGCAAACTTTATTGTGGCTTCAAGGTGTGGGCTATTCTCTCCTGGAACTGGAGAGTTGGAGGTAGTGAAGGGCTCTTGTATTGGGGTGTCCTCCAACACCCCCATCACATTCAGACAGGGATGAAGAGCGACTGAATGGCACCCGGCACCCAAAGCACATCCCAAGGAAGGTCCATCCTGCATGGTGGTCACTGCTGACTGTCCACTCCTGGTGTCTCATTTCCTGGGTCCATGCTTTTTGCATTTGGGTGTGACTTTGGACTGTGGAGAGAAGAGAGGGCCCTAGTCTCCTACTTCCCTTCCCGTCACCTCCCCAAAGATTCCTTTCCCAGGACCTTCTTCCCCCACCCAGAAAAGCCAGCCCCTTCTTACCTTTATCAAGGGGCTCTTCACTTTGGTACTGAATTTGGAGCAGAGGCGAGGCTTTAGCACTGATTGGTGGGGGCTGGTGTGGAGTGGGGAGAGACAGGCTCAGAGCCCAGTAGCTGGCTGCCCAGTGTTGCTATGGAAATGCTATGTCCTGGGTGGACAACTCCAGGGAGCAGCAACCCTCCAAGAGGCTGCAGAAGCTTCTATACCTGCTTACCTGTTATCTACGGATCACACACACACCTCCTCCCTCACCCCCTCCCAATTAAGATGATTTTTCTTCCCGCTCTGCTTTCTTTTATCAAATATATATACACCACAAATAGCAAGTTAAATATCATACAGGATACTTAATGGAAAATAATTTTGTCTTTCCCCTCCCTGTTTTTTAAAACACTTGAAGATGTGAAAACGTGGGGAAAATGGGGGGAAAATTGCTATCCTGCTCTTTTGCCTCTATGCACACATTCCAGGTTGGTAGGAGGGGTGTCAGGGACAGGAAGTTTGTGGATGAGGAGTCTTAAGTTTGAGTTGAATTACTGGCGACAGGTGTTATGCCATTAGGAGATATGGCTTGGTTTAACCAATTACTGCTGGACATTTAGATTGGTTCCATTTTCACTGTGACTTGAATAATGCAGGGTTAGACAACTGAGCGCATATAATTTGCTCTTGGTTTGGATGGAACTCTTTGGAAGGGATTACCAGGAGTGGGGTTAGGTGAGAGGTAAGGATATTTTAATGCCTTTTTTAAAAAGACTGTGCTAGCCAGCTGCCCCACCCTCTGTAGCTGTGGTGCATGTGTGTACAAGGGTGCATACACGTGCACATATACATAAGCCCCCAGTTCAACATACTTTCTAGTACTGTATCTGCTACAGCTCAAAACGCTTTGGGCTATTTTAACAAGTAGAGGGTCAGCACAGGAAAGGAAGACCCTGTATGGGATAGATTGACACAAGTGACTGACAATGCGGTCATGTGTGTCAGAGATGTGAGGGTGGCTCAGGATAAGGTAGGGTTCAGAGCCATTGTTCACAGGGTTGCTAGAAGTCGTGGTTGACTTGACAGCACATACAACAATTTAGATGTGGAATGAGATACCTCACTGCCTCCTCTTCTTTTTCCAGCTTTTTTTTCTGAAAACCAAAACTATGTATTATTAGAAGCATCAGCACACATTCCAGAACAGACTCTAGATCCACCAAGCCCTCTGCTGAGCCCGGCAGAGCTTGTCCTGCCAGGGGCCCAGGCATATCCCTCTCACAGACTAAGGAGCCTGGCCCAGGCTGCTGGCCATCAGCCCCTCGAGGTGCCTGGAGGCGCCATTGTAAGGACAGTTAGTCTTTTCCCCCCACCTTAATAGCATTCTTCTCCTTCTGGGGTGCTGGCCTCTTGTTTTGTTTCATAGGAGTGTCTTCCTCCTCTGAGGATGATGGATCACCAATATCCTCCTCTTCTTCGTCACTGTCGTCGTCATCATCATCATCATCTTCCTCTTTCCAAGTGAGGTCTGAAGAATCTAAGAGTGTGGGTAGTTGAGGGGAGAAGATAGAGCTTTGGGGCTGCCCTGCTTCTGGCCCACTGATTTACTCCATATTCTGTTCTAAGTGGTCCCCCTGCCTGTAAGGGTTCCTTGGGGGCGGGGGCTCTGGGTAAGTTGAGCAGAGGTCTGAGATGGGAGAAGGAGGAAGGAGAAGTGGGTGTAGTGATGAGTAGTTGGCTGGCTGTTCCGGTTTAACAGGAATAATTCACACTGAGGAGTGAGACGGGGTGGAAGGTGGGTGAGGTGGGTGGAGGGTGTTTGTGTGGCAGGTGAGAAGGAAAGAAAGGAAGGGAGGTGAGGGCGTGAGAGATGGGGAGGGGGAAGAGGAGGAAGGCCTTTTCCCATGGCCTACACCATGCTGACTTGGGAATTTTCTCCAATAATCCTCAAGTAAATTCACCAGGGTTTGTGTGAGAAAATAATTGAATGCTGTGCTAGGCAATACATTCTCTGATCTTCACGCCCAAACCACGACTTACCATAGGACTCCTGACCACTAATGAACACAGGTCCAGAGCCAGCCCGGAGCTGAAAAATGACTGGTGGAGAAAGTTCCAGTCCAGTCACGGAGACCTGTGGCAGTGAAGAGATGGGGCCGCTCAGCTGCGAGTTGTTCTCTGGCAGAAATACTTCACTTCACTTCTGCCCACCACACACATTTCATGTGTCCGCGGCAACTTCCTGATTTCTCAGTCACCTGGAACTCGAATGCTGAGATGGGCTCTGTTGAAGAGCATGATTCTGGTCATTGCATTCTTGCTAAGATGATAAGTGGGTTATTGATAGCCCATCACTCAAAACTATACAAATTGCAGAAGGTACGTGAGATGAAGCTGGGGGAGGCGGCTCGTCCCTTGTGCATTCAGGGCCTCCTCTTCCAGCATGATTCCAGAGAACATCCTGCTGTTACACACGGGCTTCTCAAGGTCCCGTTATTTAGAACTGAATGTCCAGCTCTGCTCTTTAATCTGTAAGCTCCCAGAAAGCACGGGTGGCCCTGCTGGTACTTGAAATATGAATGGCTGTCAGCTTCACAGCAACATGCAAGCCACCACAGTGTGACAAACTGAAAGATGAATGGTGGCATTAGCCTTTAGAGAGATACAAATCAAACAAGGAAATGTCACCTCACCCCAGCAATAGCAGCAAAGGCCAGTAAGAAAGAAAACTGGTGAGGGTATGAAGAAGTTTGAACTCACACTACTGGTCAGATTGTAAAATGGTACAACCACTGTGGAAAACAGTATGGCACCTCCTTCAAAAGTTGGAAATAGAATTAGCATTTGATCCTACAACCCCACTTCTAGATATAGATTCCAAAGACATAAAAGCTGAAACATAAAATATATGCCCATCCACATTCACTGTACGATTACAGCACAGTAGCAAACAGAAGCAGTCTAAGTTCCATCAGTAGATGAATGGGTAAACCAGTTATGCCTCACACACACAATGGAATACTATGCAATGTTAAATAATGAAGAATCTGCATAACGTGAATGAACCTGTAGTGACACAACAAAGTCCCAAGAGGACAAATATCATCATGAGTTCACTATTAGAAACAGGGAGAAGGTTACACATAATAAACATTCTTTGACATTTAGCAAGGAAAGGAAGGCAGAGGGAAGAGAAGGCTAGTCAGTACTAACAGGTCAAGCTGGGTGAGAGGAAAGGCTATATAAAATAAGGTGATCAGTACAGTATCCCTGAAGGAAAGGAAGACAGAGGTGCACGAAATTAGAGACACAAGTAAGTACTATTACGTACAGAATGCTGCATTATCAGAGTAACAAGCAGTAACAGATAAGCAGATGTGTGCGCAGACAGGGAAGATGACCAGATGGAAGTGTGGTGGATATTTTTGCTTGTGTGTTTGTGTGTGCTGCAAATATATCCACATATATAGCACAGCAAACAAGGTACAAAGTTAACTAAATTTCTTAACCCTAACTAAACACCTTGAGAGAAGGACTTGTTAGTCATGGGGTCTCAGACCACAGTGTCGGGGATCATGAAAAAAAGAATTGTGATAGATGAGGTCTGAGCACAGAAGTATGAAATAGAAAGTTTGACTATGTAAGAAAAATAGATCCAAAGTTTTGTGTACAACATTACCTATGTTTTATAAAATAGTGTATGATATACACATGAACAGAAGTTAGGAATACAATAATGAAGTCTTAAGATCCTAAACATAATTTAGGGAGCTCTAGTGGCCTACTGGCAAGACGCTGTGCTGCAATCCCAAAGGCGCTCAGTTCGAGGCCACCAGCTGCTCTGTGGGAGAAGGTTGGACTATCTCCTCCTGTGCAATTAACTGCCTCTGAAAACCCACGGAGGGTCAGTTATGGGTCAGTTCTGACTTGATGGTACTCAACAACAGCAACTGTCAGTGGACAGTACAATGGGTTTATTTTAAATTATACTTTAAAAAAAATTTCTGGAATAATTACTGTACAACTATCTCATTTCTCATTGCTGTGGAGTAGGACTTGCCCCACTGGTGACCCTCTAGGGAGTTTTAAGAGGCTGTAAATTGCAAGGAAGGAGACAGCCCACCTTCCTCCCTTGGAGCCACTGGCTGACTGTGACGATCCAGGAGGTCCTGCCTTTGGGTTAATGGAGCAACTCCCCACAAACTATGCTACCAGAGCTCCCTGTAGGACACATCTAAGAACTTAGACGCTCTTGCTGGGTCCCATGCCAAGTGTAGTGCCTGGCCCGTTTTCTGTCATTTCATTTCGATCCCGTGAAACAGTCATTATTGTTTGGGTGAAACAGAGACATCAATTTAGTGCTTCCAATTTAGACGTGAAGCAGGTAAAAGTGAGAACTCTTCAGCCACAACCACCTATCCATGCTGGATAAATGGCACGAGCAGCAGAAATGAGGGGAATGTGCAAGAGCTGATGCTGCAGCAGCGTCAAAAGGAAACAGGTCTAGTCTGTGGGCGTTTATGCTCATGCAAGGACATGGACGAGGCCTGGGCTTAAGAATAAAGGAAAGTAAATGAGACCAGTCTTCAGGGAAGGACCCGCAAAGGGCTACACCCTCAGTCAAAACCCCCAGGACAAAGGCTAAGAGGATTTATAAACAAACCCAAGGGGGCTCTGGTGGTCTAGTGGCAAGAAGCTGTACTGCAATCCCAGAGGTGTGTGGTTCAAATTCACCAGACTCTCTGCTGGAGAAGGAGGGGCAATCTCCTCTTGTACCAGTCAGATCCAATTTGATGACACACAAAACCAAGAAAACCCCCAAAACCCCAAAACCAAAACCAGCCAGCCAGTTAGCCAACACAGTTGTCATTGCTGGGTGCCACTGAATAGATTTTTGATCCGTGACCTGATGTGATAGCAGAAGTGCTCCCTAAGATTTCTCAGGCTGTAATCTTCACAGGAGCACGTCTGTCGCGTGGGAGTGCCTGGGGAGGTTTGAACGGCCAGCTTTTAATAGTTAGCGGCCAACTGCTTTCTCACTGCGTCACTAGGGCTCAGAGGAAGATTACAAGGAAGCTTGAGTGGGAAGAAAGTCTCTTGTAAAACTCTAACAAGCCCATGCCAATTCTCACTTATATGGAGTCTGAATTTCCCCCATGGTTACAGCGCCATCAAGAATCCTGCATAGTTGATTCCAGACTTGTGATGTTACTCTGTTGGGACAGTCCCCAAATCCAGGCCACACAGAAGCCTTTCAGGGAAAGAAAACAAAAGACTGGGATGATCTCACTGCCTAAAATGACAAACCACACAGGAAACAATCCTGCTAGTGTCAGCAGAAAACAACAAAATGACCACAGGCTACACAGTCAAGAACTTTAGATAAAGGTATAATGAACTGGATGTTTGATTAAAACAAAACAAAAAAATCAAAGTAGGAATTAGGACTGAAAGGAGACCGTGACAAACACATTTCTAAAAGAACAAAGTCTAAGTTCTAGAAGTGAAAAAACAAAAGCATTGACATAACCTGAACAAATGTTCTTTAAAAATCAGCATCAACCAGCTGATGCAAGAATCAGTAAACTAGAACAATGACATAAAAAAAACCACCCCAAAAGATACAAAGAGATTGAAAATATGTAAGAAGGTCTAATACACAGAGGACAGAATGGTATGATCCAACCATGCATTTAAACAGAGTAAGAGACTAGTGAGAACTGTTGCATGCCATCAAGCTGGAACAGACTCATAGATGACCCTTCAGTGGGTTTTCAGAGGGGGTAAATCGCAGGTAAGCACACGGCCCGTCCTCCTCCCGTGGAGCAGCTGGTGGAGTCAAACCATGTGCCTTTGGGATTGCAGTGTAGCTTCTTACCACTTGACTACCAGAGCTCCCTACAAGGAGAGTCAATATTCAAAGTGATAATAGTGAATTTACCAGGGATGATCAAGATACAAACCCTCATAGCCAGAAAACCCAAGTATTGAACACAAATTCATATCTAAACATAGCATTTTGTGGTAAAACTATAGACAAAGAAAATATAAAGTAAACCAGGGAAGGCAGATTTAAAGTTGGGTTTTTTTTTTTTAAATAAAAAAGCAATACTCAAAGGATTTAAACAGCAATATCAGGAACTAGTAGAACAACATCTTTAACGTTTGAGGGAACCCTATTGTCTACATGAAGGTATTTTCAAGTAAAGCTGGAGTGACTTTGCTATTTCTAGATGTACTTTAAAAGCAGAACACTCATCAACAAATGAATAGAGAAACTGCGGTATAATCACACAATGGAATACTATGTAGCATTGAAAAACAAGGAACTCATAAAACATATCACATGGTTGATCCTGGAGGACATTATGCTGAGTGAAGTACTTCAGTCACACAAGGACAAATACTGCATAATGCCACTGTTACAAAACAGGACTGACAGAAGGGTTGAGGGGAAACTAAGAAAGAGGAGACAAATAATGAATATTATATTGAAACAGAAGAGGGAAAGAATTGCTTAGGAGAAATATATGATTAGGCATTCTGAAACAGCCCAGACTAAGAGGTGCAAAGTGGACTAGAGTTGGGGGGAAGGGAGGAAATGATAAAACAATGAATGTTTTTGGTTTTTATAAAGAAAAACAAACTTGGAGGCAGTAGGGAGGAAAATGTGTAACAATGAATGAATGGAAATCCAAGTTTTCTGTAAACTTTCATTAAAATCACAATTAAAAAAACTATTTAAAAACCCCAACATACTCATTAATGTCAAATCAAAACCAAATCATATCTGATCCTCACTAGATTTTCAGACTGTAAATTGCACAGGAGGGAAAGGCCCTCTCTGAGGTGGATTGATTCAGTGACTGGGGTAAGTGGGATGGGAGTGTCAGAGGCAGTGCGATTGGCACAGGACAGAGCAGAGTTTAGGGCTGTTGTACATAGGGTCGCTATGAGTTGCAAGTGACTCGATGGCACATAACAACAACAACAAATTGCACAAGAGGAGACTGTCCATCCTGCACCTGCAGAGTCTCCAGTGAATTTGAACCACCAGAGGTGTGGCCTTGAAGTTAGCAGTACCTTGAGATTTGGCCTTGAGTTTAGCAAGACTTTATGGACACCAATGCGGTG